TAACTTAAAGTTTATGCTGTAATCAGCAATTGGAATGATCTTAGAGTTTTTACAACTAAAATGCATTGCACTGACCCAACATGTCGTCAAATAAGATGCATGTAGGGTTTCTCCATCGCAGACGCAGTTCCGCGAGTGTTTGTCCAAGGGACTAAAGGACACCTCGGTGTCTACAACAGCCATCCGGGTCCCCCCCAGCCGCCACCACTGCTGCTTACGGTTCAACGATGATATCACGACTTTCTTGCCGCCGGTTCGGGAGTAGCGGTGCCCAGCATCAACTTCCTACTTTATAGTTCGGATCAAGGCTCCTCCCGATGCCCACATGAATCCCTCCCACTACTTCACCACAGAACTCTCCGCCCTCCTCGGCCGCCAGCGACACCGCATTACTCGGTGCAAGAAAATGCGCCATCCCGGTCACACTGCGCAGGCGTCGTTGCCGCCTCCCCACTGCTATGTCGCCCCGCCCCCTTTCCCTCCCCCGCTCCGGGCGCACGCAGGCGCGGGGCATCGCGGGTCTTGCAGTCCTTCCGGGCGAGGGTGGGCGCGCTGGCCCCGGAGGCTGGACTACATTTCCCGGAAGGCTTTGAGGAGTAACTTTCTGTTTCCATAGAACTGGTGGGAAAATGGCGTCGTTGTTTGTATCCAGGTGACCAATAGAAGCAGGGGATAGGCGGGCTCTAGCGCACCTTAGCCAATCGGAGGTCGTCTAAGAGGCCATCCGGGAAAGAGGTAGGGGAGGGGGGAATTTTAAGGGGAGGGGAGAAAGAAAAGAAGGGGGGACGTGGGGTGGGGGGGGAGCGATGTTTGCCCGTCAGTCGAGTCCGGAGTGAGGAGCTCGGGCGCTGGAGCGGAGGGAGACTCTCGAGCTAAAGCTTGCCGCCGCCACGGCCGCCGCCTGGACCTTTGCCTGGAGGGAGCCGCGGAGGGTCCATCGCCGCCGTCCTCTGGAGGGCAGTGCGACTGGGGGCCCGGACCTCCAGTCCGGGAGGGATTTTTCGCCGCCCCCTCCCCCCAGCCAGGGAGCCCGAGCGGCCGCCAAACAAAGGTACCAGTCGCCGCCGCGGGAGGAGGAGGAGCCGGAGCCGCAGCCGCAGCAGCCGCTGGACCGCCGTCCTTCTTCCCCATCTCTCCCCCAGGCCTGCTGGTTTTGGGGGGGAGGAGGAGAGACGGGACTCTGGACGTGCCAGGGTCAGATCTCGCCTCCGAGGAAGGTAGGGGCATTTTCGGGGGCTTTCGCCGTCTGCTAAGAGGGACCGTCCTTTCGGGAGCCGCTGGGCTCGACCGAGGCGCAGGGAGGATCGCTGTGGTGGTCTCAGCGGCGCCGGATTCGGGGCCTTGGCCTCCCGGGAGCCCCCGCCCCCCGCGCCCCCCCGCCGTTGCCGTGTCCGAGCCGCCCCCTGGCCG